AGTATATTTAATTATGTCTATCTAGCCTCTTTAAATCTGGACTATCTCCACAGCGTCTGTATTTCATGACATGGGCATTTGGAAAAATTTAATTTTCCCATCTACACTTTTTTTTGAGAGTACTCCTTCCCCTCCTCCCCCCATGATTAGGTTCAAGATAACGCATTCTTAGCCAAAATATTGCATCAGCTTTTAAGGGTGTCACATCTGTAGGCACATGATGACCAACTGCCTTTCCTTGGTGATGTTAATTTTAATCATCAGGTGTTGTCTGATTTGTCACTGGCACCTTGATGTTGATAATAATACCAGCTTTGCTCTTCTTCCCCCCCGCCCGAAGACATTGTCTTACCATATTTCCTTCAGTCCTGCCTCAGCCTCCTGAGTAGCCGGGTCTACAGGTGCACACCCTGACTCTTGGGCCCTTCAGTCTTGTGCCCTGTCTTTTTACACTTGCTTAATTAGAAGTATTAGACTTCCCTAGATGATTTGACTGTTATAGCCCAAGTATGCTGATTGAGTCAGATTAGCTAGTGATAATCTTTATGGGTCCACTGTGAGTGGCAGAAATAGATGATGTAGTAAAACCCAAACTCACCAATGGAAACTAAGAAAAGGAAAGGGAATTTCTACTAGTTTTCTCAGTCAGAATTTGAAAAAGTTGATTCATAGAATTTTTTCTTTTGAGAGGTTTCTCCTATATGGCACGTGTGCTCACCAGACACACAGAGAGAGACAGACAGAAAGCGAGAAATCACCCCCCAGGGGGGATGGCCATGCTGCAGTCCTTTCTCCTCTGTTCTACTCTTGGGATCTTGGGCACGCACGCACACACGCCCAGCGTGAGTTTTAAGCCACCGGGTCCGGGACACAAACCGCTGTCAACTACATGGGAGTCCAGCAACATAGCCATTACGCTAACTGCTGGTCTCGAGTCATAGAATTTTTAAAAAGAAGTAAACTTTATCAAATGTGTTCATTAACTTTATCAAATTGAGATCAGATTATTTACTAAGTATTTGTTTGTTTTAATTTTTGCCAGTAGGGCCATGCGCTGACCAGAGAGAGAAAGTGAGAAAGCATCCCTACCCCCATGGGGAATGGTCATGCCACAGTCCCCTCTCCTCCATTTCTCCTTTTCTTGGGATTTTGGACGTGCACACATGCCTCCTGTGTTTTTCAGGCTACCAGACCTGGGACTTGAGCCACATCACTATCCGAGTGGGATCCAGCTGTCTTAACCACCACACCACCCGCTGGCCTGCTAAGTAGTTTTAGTATTTCACTATTGATATTATTTAATCTAATGATTAAAGCTGTTTAACAAAGTAGATTTATAATCAAGTATGTATTAAACAGGCTTATAGTTTTGGAGAGAAAAAAAAAAAACACTTCAACTAAGGCTTTGTCAGGATGATAAATCTCCACTTATTTACTTTTGTCCAAATATTAACTTTATGTTACTATGACATATAATATATGTTAAGAACTGAAGACCATTTAGGAGTCTTCATTCAGCAGAACAAGCTGTTCCTTTTTGTTCTAGGTGGACTACAGTAATACATACAGGACTGTAAAAACACAGAGCTGCATCCACCTTCTCAGCGAGGCTCATCTGTTAGTGAGAGCTGCCCTGATGGATGCCAGTCAGCTGGAACCCGCAGAGAAGGCGGAGCTGCTAGAAGCATTTAAAGAAAGCTGTGGACACCTTGGAGACTGTTACAGCAGGTTGGTGACACCTCTTGGAATACTGTTTCAGAGTCATTTGGATTTTGGTCATCCACATTGGCTTTTGATCTGATGAAAGGGGGAATGCATGAGAGGAAGTGGTTCACTTATTCACTGTGTCACAAGCATTTACTGAGCCTATACCATGTGCCCACATGTAGGTTTAGAGATACAAAGAGAAATGCGACCTATTTCCTGCCTTTAAGAAGTCATAGCTTATTAGGGAACCAGCAGTTAGCGTAATGGATATGTCGCTGGACTCCCACGTAGTCGACCGCGGTTCGCGTCTCGCGTCTCGGACCCGGTGGCTTAAAACTCACACCGGGCGCATGTGCATGTGTGCCCAAGATCCCGAGAGGAGAATGGAGGAGAAGGGATTGCAGCGTGGCCATCCCCCCTGGGGGGTGATTTCTCGCTCTCTGTCTCTATGTCTCTCTCTGTCTGTCTGGCGAGCGCACGCGCCCTGTAGCGAAAACCTCTCCAAAAAAAAAAAAAAAGAGAGAGAGAAAAAAGAAGCCATAGCTTGTTAGACGAGCATAGCTTATTAAACTCAAATTTATGAGTTTCCACTGCTTAATTTAGGAATTTGAAGGATTTTTCAGCCCTGCAGGGGCTCATATTAGTGAAAATTCCAAAGACAGCCATAGGACTAATTTATTGTCTATTAGTGTAAGGGCAAGGCACCAGTTGGACAGTCTTTCATTTTAGTCTTAGTAGTCAGTACTGTGATCATGCAAGAAAGGGACACTAGGATGAATAGTGACTTCTATTTTTGAGGATATTTAGAAATTTTTTTGGACATGATTGTTTTAGAGTCTTGCTTGACCCTTATAAATGATTATAAATTAATAAAAGAACCTTTTCTTACCTATAAACATTGTTCTTTTCTTTTTAAAGAAAGTTTACAGAGAGAGAAAGAGCTAGGCACCCCTAAAAAGGTTTCCACGTTGTGATCCACCCCATTTCAAGCAGTGCGGATGACAAGTGTGCACTTACTCTATGCTTGGAGAGGTCCCAGGATGCAAACCTAAGACCTTTTCCATGTGGATCCATTTGTGCTACTGTCATGACACTGGGCCCCAACACCATTATTTTAGAACCACATCATAAATAACAAAAAATTCACTTAATGAATTGTTGGGTTTTTAGATTTTTATTATGAGTAGGCAAAAAGAAACTGCACTCATTAGAATGACTTTATAAAATAAAGCGTAAGTGTCAGTTCCAATTACTCATGGTAGAAAAAGTATTTGGGGATGTACATCTTCTGGAAAGCGTGTGCTGTTTTATTATTAAATGTGTTAAATACCTAGGCTTAAAAATGACAAATTTGAATTTCCTTATTACTTTCTTTTTAGGCTTGATACACAGCATTCCCACCTCACCTTGCCATACTATAAGATGTCTGGTTTATCTATAGCCGAAGTTTTGGCCCGCGTGGACTGGACAGTAGAGGATGGATCCCAGAAATACGAGAGGGGATTAATCTTTTATATTAATCACTCACTTTATGAAAACCTGGATGAAGAATTAAGTGAGGTGAATATAGTTTTCTTTTTAGTTATAGCCAATCTTTTTAACTTTTCATTTTTGGGATTTATTTTATCTAATACTTATAGAAGTTGAGTTCCAAGTATTTTTCTTCTTTGATATTCTTTTTTTTTTTTCCTCTGAAAAAATAACATGCCTTTTCCTTTGTTAATGATCATGGAGTTACAGCTTGGCAAAGCGCTCCCCGGTCATCTCATACTTTCTGTTACACGGGTGGAGATATGCTCCTTGTGGTTCAGTGACCTCCCCCGTGGCAGTAGCATGTCTTTAGAAGAGTGACCTGGCATGGGCCTCGCCTTTGTCCTTCTGTCCACAGTCTGTCCCCCAGCTTTACTTGCCCCATTCTTCAGGTGTCCAAATCCTCACTCACAAAACCCAGGCTCAAAACTCAGCATATTTGCATTTAGTTATGTTAAAAATATTTGAGGGATAGGCCAGCCAGCGCTGTGGTGGTTAAGGGGACTGAATCCCACATGGCTGACTATGCTATTAGAGTCCTGGACCCAGCAGCTTGAAAAAAACATGGGACATTTGCGCATGAGTACCCAAAATCCTGAAAGGCAGGAGAACTGGAAAAGGGATTGCAGTGTGACCATCCCTCATGAGGGGTGCTTTCATTTTTTTTTTTTCCTTTGGAGAGGTTTTTTGCTATAGGGCACATGCACTCGCCAGAAAGACAGTGAGAGACAGAGAGATAGAAAGCAAGAAATCACCCCCCAGGGGGATGGCCATGCTGCAATTCCTTCTCCTCCATTCTCCTCTCGGGATCTTGGGCATGCACGCACACGCACCCAGTGTGAGTTTAAGCCACCGGGTCCGGGATTTGAACCGCAGTCAACTATATGGGAGTTCAGCGACATAGCCATTACACTAACTGCTGGTCCCCATTTTTTTTTTAAAAGAATTATTTCATTAGGGAACCAGCAGTTAGCGTAATGGCTATGTCGCTGGACTCCCACGTAGTCGACCGCGGTTCGTGTCCCGGACCTGGTGGCTTGGAACTCACATCAGGCGCGTGCACGTGCGTGCCCAAGATCCCGAGAGGAGAATGGAGGAGAAGGGATTGCGGCGTGACCATTCCTCCTGGGGGGTGATTTCTCGCTTTCTGTCTCTATGTCTCTGTCTGTCTGGCGAGCGCAAAAAAAAAGAAAAAAAAAAAAAAAAAAAAAAAAAAAACCTCTCCAAAAAAACAAAAAAGAATTATTTCATTAAACTTTATTTATTTATTTAATTTTGATCAGGTTGGGGGTGGGGAGAGAAGTGAGAAAGCAAGCCACCAGGTCCAGGACTCAAACCGTGGTCGGCCATGTGGGAGTCCAGCGCCCTTAACTACCACGCCACCTGCCAGCCCCGATGAGGGGTACTTTCTTACTTTCTCTTCCTTTCATAGGAGTTAATTCCAGTTACTAATAGTAGTAGAAAAGTATTTTTCGATTTATGTCTTCTGGAAAGCATGATCTATTCTATTATTTAATGTGTTAGATACCTAACAGATTTGAGGACCAGTGGCTGGCGTAATGCTTACATGGTTGGACTCCACGCAGTTGACCACAGTTCGAGTCCTGGACCTTGTGGCTTAAAACTCAAGCCAGATGCATGTGCATGTGTGCCCAAAATTCCTAGAGGAGAATGGAAAAGGGATTGTGGTGTGGTCATCCCCCCAGGGGGTGATTTCTCACTTTCTTCCCGTCTGTCTCTCCAGCAAGCACATGTGCCCTATAGCAATAAAAAAGAATAACAAATTTAAGTTTTCTTATTTCTCTCTCTTTAGGGACACATACATATATATGTATACATACACATATGTGTGTGTGTGTATATATATATATATATATATGATTTTAACACAGAAATAGAGAGAAAGGAAGTAAGAAATCACACCATATGGGGGATAGTCACGCCCTAATCCCTTCTCCATTTCTCTTTCATTTCCATATTTTGAGCACTCATACACAGATGCCTGATGCATTTTTTTCAAGCTTTTTTTTTTTTTTTTACACTGAGATTTTTGCTGTAGGGCGCATATGCTTGCCAGAGACACAGAAAGTGAGAAATCACCCCCTGGGGGGATGGACATGGACATGCCATAGTGTCTTCTCCTCCATTCTTCTCTTGGGGTTTTGGGCACACACACACACACACACACTCACACACACACACACGTCTGCATGAGTTTCAAGCCACCAGGTCTGGGACTCAAACTGCAGTTGGCCATGTAGGAGTCCAGTGACGTAACCATTATACCATCTCCTGGCCCTGGGTCTGGGACCTTTAACAGCACAGTTGACCATGAGGGATCTTTCCCTCTTACCCTCCATACCACTGGCTGGCCTCCCCTTCGCATATTTTACACGTAGTTGAATGCAAACATGCTGAGTTGGAAATTGTGACACCAAATGTCTTAAGGTTTTGAGAGAAATAAGATTTTACTTATATAAATTATTATACTTCATTGGGTAAATATTTTGAACTAAGTTGTAGGATCTTTTTGTTTTAACCACATGGGAGTCCAGCGCCTTCAACCACCATGCCATCTGCTGGCTCCTGTTTCATTTTGTTTTGTTTGCTTTTGTTTTTAATTTTTTTAGAAAGCATGTGTACCTGCCAGAAAGAGAGGAAGTGGGAGCAAGCACCCACCATGGGGAATGGCCATGCCGCAGTCCCTTCTCCTCCATTCCTCCATTCTGTCAGGATTTGGGGCACACATGCACATGGGCCTGGCATGTTTCTCAGGCCATTGGGTCCAGAACTCAAACCACAGGGTCACCTCCATAAGATCTGGCTGCCTTAGCAAGCCCAAGTTGTATTTTTTTTCTATGGTTCTTAAGTATAACATAATGTAATATTTATTTTCTTCTTCTGAACTATTAATTAGATATGTTTAGCTGGGTACAGTGGCATGAATCTGTAATCCCAGTTACTTGGACTGAGGCAGGAAGATCATGAATTTGAGGCCAGCCTGGGCAACGTAGTGAGGCCCTGTCCTAAAACTATTAAAAATAAGTAAAATAATAAAAACTAGAAATGTTGGTCATGGCCTGGTACATATTTCTACTGCATTTTCTTCATTATAATTCAGCAGAGAGATCATTTCAGCTCTAACACATCAGCATCAGTTTTGTCTTTTCAATCAAAAGGTAATGCTATAATTTGATCCTAATTGTAGTCTTTGTATCTAGGCTTCAGCTCGATAGATAGTTTGGCTGATTGTGTTGCTTTCCATCGACTGACCTTTATTCTCCGTTCGTGCTCACCGAAGGAATTAGCAGCCAAGGTGGTGCAGATGTTCCATGCAGCTGAGCCCAAGCAACTGCCTCATATCCTCTGTAGCCCTTCCATGAAGAATACGAATCCTTTAACTGCCATGAGCTACCTAAAGAAGCTGGATACTTCTGGGTTTTCATCGATCTTAGTGACATTGACCAAAGCAGCCATGGCTCTGAAAATGGGAGATCTTGACATGTACAGGGACGAAATGAAAAGCCATTCAGAGGTACGATGCCCTGCCTGGTATTAAGAGCAGTCGGAAGCAGGACCTGGCAGTCCTGACCTCTTTAGCTTTCTTTTGGCTTCTTTCTAGCTCATTTTCTTAGTTGTAATGGAAAACAAATTTAATATTAGAAGGGGAGTGATCCAAGTAGGACTTTGGATCCGATAGATGGAAAAAGAAATGACTGGGACCAGCAGATGGCATAATGGTTACATAGCTGGACTCCCACGTAGTTGATCATGATTCTAGTCCCAGACTTGACAGCTTGAAACTCACACCTGGCATGTGTGCCTAAAATCCTGAGAGGAGAATGGAGGAGGAGGGATTGCAATATGATCATCCCCCCGGGTGTGGGTGTGTGTGTGTGTGTGTGTGTGTGTGATTTTTTTGCTTTCTGTCTCTTTCTCTCTGGTGAGCACATGTGCCCAAATAGCAAATAACTCTCGAAAAAGAAAAAGAAATGACTGATACATAGCAGTCATGGATAGCCAAGGATCTTTCCCCTTAATGTCAGGTGTGTTCAGCGTACTGCACTTTGTACTGAAGAATATACGGGCTCTGTCGTGAGTGGGCAGTCTGATCTGGCATAAGAGATACAGTATGTGGACTAAAAGCAAAGCAGAGTGATTTTTTTGTTTTTTTGTTTTTTTGTTTTTTTTTACTTTTTTTGTTTTGTTTTGAGAGGTTTTTGATATAGGGTATGTACAATCACCAGAAAGAAACAGAGAGAGGCAGAAAGTGAGAAATCACCCTCTGGGGGGATGGCCACCACCACAATCTCTTCTCCGTTCTCCTCTTGGGATCTTGAGCACACACGCACATGCACTCGGCGTGAGTTTAAGCCGCTGGGTCTGGGACTCATACTGTGGTTGACTACATGGGAGTCCAGCCACATAGCCATTATGCCAACTGCTTTAATGGCTATGTGTTTAAATGCTATGTGTTTAAGTATAGCAAGGGGAATGTTAACTGTGAGCCTTAGGAGTCTAGTTGTGGCAGAAGTAGCTTGCACTTTAGAAAGGCACAGATGAATTTGTGGAGGGTCGAATGGTGTATCAAAGACAGAAAGCATTTCTCTTGGAAAAGAGGCCATTTAGGGACAAGAGCCAAAGATGCTAATAATTTAGGATAAGAATATAGTGTTAATGTCAGGGGCACTTACTGTGTCCCAGGCCATAGTCTAAGCCCCTCTATGTGTGTATTACCCTGTTAAATTCAGACATAATGCTATGAAATAGGTGCTGTTAGATAGAGGGGGTAGCTAGGACACGGGAGGTTAAATCACTTACTCAGAACCACACACCTGGTGAGTGGTAGAGCCAGAACTGAACCAGGCAGCCTGACTTCAGAACCTGTGCTTCTGTGCCTCTGTGCTTTTGTTGCCCGATTGTGATTAAATGCCCACAGTATGACTTTGGTTTCTAAAATTAGAAGAAAAGAAGTGTTTTTCCACTGTACAAATGACACGTTTTGTATTGATGAGGAGAGTAAGTCACCATCTTGGTGTTTTCTGCTGTGAAGAATATAATTCTAGAAAAATAAGGATTCTTTCCATAATTTTGAAAGAACATTCGATAGATTGTTTTCAAATCAAGTAAACCTAAATATATAGCTCTCTATAAAAGCAGGATATCTTTGTATGTGTGTGTTTGTGTGTCGTGTATGTCTGTGACTATGTAAGTGTGTATGAGTGCGCCAAAGCAGGATATCTTTGTGTGTGTGTGTGTGTGTGTTTGTATATGTCGGTGACCGTGTGTGTGTATGTTTGTGTATATCTGTAACTGTGTAAATGTGTATGAGTGTGCTAAAGCAAGATATCTTGATACTTAGTTGAATATTAATAACTCTTACAAGACAATTCATGGTATCCTTCGCAGAGTAAGGATTTTGTAGTTAAAAAATTGTAATTGGGTCAGCAAGGGGTATAGGGGTTAAGGTGCTGGACTCCCACATGGTCAACCAAAATTCGAGTCCCAGACTCAACAGCTTGAAACTCATGCCAGGCATGTATACATGCGTGCCCCAAATCCCGAGAGGAGAATGGAGGAGAGGGGGTTGTGATGTGGTCATCTCCTCTTGGAAGCAGTTTCTCACTTTCTCTTTCTGTGTTTCTGGTGAGCGCATGCACCCTGTAGCAAAAATCTCTCTTAAGGAAAAAAAAAATGTGATTAACTTAAATTATTAATGGCTTAACAATGAATTGTAAACATCCTAGCTTGTATGTCCAAGATGGACAACTTGAATGCAATGTATATTTTATTCCTAAATTTCTTTCTTTATCTGAAGATGAAGTTGGTCTGTGGCTTCATTCTGGAACCCCGGCTACTGATTCAGCAATGGAAGGGACAGACCGTTCCGACCGAGCTCACATTCCACTTGAAGGAGACTCAGCCTGGCTTGCTTGTCGCTGCAGTCCTAGGCTTGCAGAAGAACGACAAAATTGGAATTGAAGAAGCAGATTCCTTCTTTAAGGTTAGTCACTTTGAAAATGTTATTTTTCTGTTTTTTTTTTTTTTCTAAAGTTTTATAAGAGGAGATTTTTGCTATTGAGCATATGTGCTCGCCAGAGAGACAGAAAGTGAGAAATCACCCACTCAGGGGAGATAGCCATGCCACAGTCTCTTCTCCTCCATTCCCTTGGGATCTTGGGCATGCACACAAACACATGACTGGCATGAGTTTCAGGCTGCCGGATCTGGAACTCAGACGGTGGTTGGCCATGTGCAAGTCCAGCAATAAAACCATCTACTGGTCTCGAAAATGTTATTTTTCTGGATGGCCTAATAAAATCAGTAAAGAGAGAAGTGAGCTTTTCATTTGTTTGTTTATTGAAAAAACAGACTAACACATAGTTAATTTATAAGATAAAAGTATATAATAAAATAACATAGCTGGAGAAACTCCTTGCAGCCTAAAATCCACTTTCTGTTTACAGTGTCTGGATTTGTTTTGGCTATGGCACTAACACTCATGGTAAATTATGAATTGCATGGCCCATGTAACAATATGAATTGAGCCCAGCTGTAACTGGATCAGTGCTAGGTCCTGGAATCCAGGGGCTCGTTTTACTGTTTTCAAGGTGCTGTGTGGTAAGGATGAAGATCTGATCCCTCAGCTCTTGATAGACTTTTGGGAAGCCCAGCTAGTAGCTTGTCTCCCAGACGTGGTGCTTCAGGAACTCTTTTTCAAACTCACATCGCAGTACATCTGGAGATTATCGAAGAGGCAGCATCCTGACACCACGCCATTGCGAACGTCAGAGGATCTGGTAAGAGAACAGTACCTTAAATTAAACTCCTGTGTTGCGCACTAAAATATTTACCTTCTTAAGAACTTAGAATCCAACCTAGTTTTCTATTACTGTTAACCTTATTTAAATAAGAGTTAAAATATATTTAAAACGTGTCTATGACTGAAGTTGCCCACATTTTAAATAATCTTACTTTCTGAAGAATGTCCCCGGCTGCTCCTATATGACTTAGAGTGATACCTCAGTAGCCAGAGTGCGTGGGAAGGGGCTTTCGCCCGAACGTTACCATGTCTGTGCCTTTTTGGCAGAGGGTCATTAGTGGACCATGAGAGAAGAGGCATCTGCAGGCCCCCCTGGTGGGAGAGGAGTTGCAGAGGCTTCGGGAGGGAGATGTGCCTTCCGGGCCCCTGGTTCCCGTCAGCTGCACACACCAGAGCCCTTTTCAGTATCCCAGACAGCCATTGCAGCTCTGCAAACCCTTCCTCCGTTCTCCTCTCCCAGCCCCTTTGCCTCTCATGGATGCCATGGCTGATGTGAGTTAACTGGAAAAGCTACCAACTTCTTTTTAGATATTATTTAGAGGTTTTTGCCTTAGGCGTGTGTATTTGCCAGGGAGAGAGACACAGTGAGAGGGAAAGTGAGAAATCACCCCTGGGGGCATGGCCATGCCACACTCCCTTCTCTTTCATCCTCTTCCTGGGATCTTAGGCACACACACAAGCACACACCTGTGCCCGGCATGAGTTTCAGGCCACCAGGCATGACACTCCAACCGCAGTCAGCCATGTGGGAGTCCAGAAACGTAACTGCTATACCACCAGCTTCTTGAATACGAGGAGTTGTATGGGAGTTGTCTTGAGAATTTATGGAAGATACTTTGCCTCCAAAGCAAGTAGTATAAGTAAAAGTTATTTCCAGTGTTTGATTAACCCTTTTTTTGAGTTTAATTAGCTTAAAAGCATTTCTGGTCTTTTTGCTAGAAAGTGCCTCTTTGGAATATTATACATTTCAAAATTTAAGGAAGTATTTAGTGCAGATTACTTCGTGCCTACATGGCCAGGCTGATATATTTTTCAGAGGAATATATTCTCAGACTTTTCCTTCCCATTCCCAAGAAGCTGCATGCCTAATTCTGTGACATGACAGAGGGTTGACAATTGCTTGCTTTTGGTTGGAGGGCTGAAAAAAGTTTTTTTTTGTTGTTATACTTTGTTAATGAGAAGTTTCTTTCATGTTTTAGATAAATGCCTGTAGTCATTATGGTTTAATCTATCCTTGGGTTCATGTCTTAATCTCATCTGATTCCTTGGCTGATAAAAATTATACAGAAGACCTGTCAAAATTACAGGTAAATAAAAATACCTCTTTTTTCTTAAGAGTATTTAATATAAATATAGCATTTCAATTTCACAAGACCTCAAGTGTCTTATTAGTCTAGAAGGTATTATTTTGGGGGAAAAAATTCACAGGTAGGCATTCTGAGAAGGCTTGGTGGAATTCTTGCCTCTGCCTAAAACTGCTGATGGGTGGGCTCTGGGCTGAGAGGCTGGTTGCATTGCAGGTAGGTACGTGGGCAGGGTTCATAAATCATATGACTACCTTCCTCATTTTTAGGATGTGCTTGAAAACACTTTGTGAAATGAAAACATAACAAATGTTTAGTGTTTCCATTTTTAAAAATTTGCTATGGAATGCGTGCACTTGCTAGAGAGAGAAAGCGAGAAAGCGCCCCCTAGGGGAGAAGGCCATGCTGCAGTCCCTTCTCCTCTCTTCTCTCGGGATTTGGAGCATGCACATACCTGCTCTTGGTGTGTTTCTCAAGCTGCCAGGTCTGGGACTGGAACTAGGGAGTCAGCTCTGTGGGATCCAGTCGCCTTCACCACCACACCTCTGGCTAGCTTTTAGTAGAGTTTTTATTTATGGACTCTTATTATTTTAGTGTTGATTTACACATTTAAGGCCTCTCACCACTACTGTTTGTCTTATAAAAACAGCCCATGTAACCAGTTCATCTGGCCCCTGAAAAAGGATTTTTAAAAGATAAGAGGGGCACAGTTAGAGGATGTAGAGCATCCTGTGAGAATTCTGACCATGGCAGGGTTTCGACTGGGAATGAGAAATAAGGTCTGTGTGACTCGGTGGATCAGCTGGGCTAGATGGATGTGTGATTCACTAATGCAATTACAGCCCAAGGGCCGAATGTCATCCCCACAGCTTTTTCATTTTATTTACCCAATGTAACTGCCAACACATAAAAATTGAGATATATTAAGAATTCTGAGTTTCAACTTACTCTTGAAAAATTCAGCAAAACTGGTAACCCTGGCCCTCACTGCATCTGAGGCCTGAGGGTTGGAGGCAGTGGTGGCTCTCCTCCTTGGCAGTGCTCATACTGCCCTGTCTGCCCACCTCTCACCTCTGGGTCTTCCTGACCCAGATACTCGGTGGCTCATGTCCATCTTCCAGATAGCCAACTGTCTTAGAGGAATGGGGAGGTTCAGAATCACCTGGAGAACTTTCCAAAATTGTATGACCACCTGCCCACACATATTTGATATGAGTGTCTGTCATTGTCTTCAGTCACAGTAATCGTATATTTGTACAATAATTAAAACCGCCTGGGGCCAGCAGGTAGCACGGTGGTTAAGGTGCTGGAATCCCACATGGCTGACCAAGGTTCAAGTCCTGGACTTGCTGGCTTGAAAATGATGCCAGATACATGCCCAAGATCTCAGGAGAAGAATGGAGGAGAACGGATTGTGATGTGGCCATCCTCCCTGAGGGGTGATTTCTTACTTTCTCTCTCGTCGTCTCTGTCTCTGTCTGGCGAGGGCACAGGGCCTATGGCAAAAACCTTAAAAAAAGCCTATGTTATCTACATATCAAAAAGCCACTGTTTGGAATGACACTAAGTAGCAGATTTCCTGTCCTTTGTCAAAGTAGTTGTGGTTCCCCTCTCCGCTGCCTCCTTGCCAACCCTTTCCTCAGAGCAATGGGTTGTGGTGGTAGAAGTGGAGAAGACCTAGAGGTCAGTGGATTCCAGCCCTGCAGAGTCAGAGCTGAGGGAGGCATGATCAGACAGAGGGAAAATGGTGCATGTGTTACAGCTAGAGAGGGGTCTGTTTCTAAACCCGAAACAGTGGAGCATTCTGCTAAGATACAGACATTAGCATTAACTGTTTTAAAGAATAACAGTAGCCCTTGAACCATTTTTAATCCAGTGATACATGTGTTGTTTAGATTTCTTATCTATTTATTGTTACGCTAATTGATGATCTGATCGGATACAAGTAAGCAGTAGTTCTTGGGTAATCCATTTTGTGCCAAGTTTTGACTAGATTCTTTCACTGTGGTGTGAGAACCAGTGCCTCGGCCCCTCCTGCCCCACCCCTTATCCAGATTAATCAAGAGCCGAATGTAGAAGTAATCGGTTTTCTTCTCTGTTGGCAATCTTGTGAGTGGGAAGGTACCAACTTAGTTCATCTTTCCCATCTAATTGTCAGGAAATTATTCAGAAGAATAATTCAGTAACATTGTAGAAGAAGCAGAGACCAACCTTATTCTCCTAGCCATTCCTTAGTAGGTATTTGGAATAAAATAATCACACTGATCATAAATGAGTAGTTTACATTCCATATCTTCCCGTGAGTCTGAGAAGATGCTGTAGCAAAAAGAGCACAGAGAGAAGAAAATTAGGCCATGACCATCTCATCCTTATCCAGGAGAAAAGAAGTGGAAATGATTTTGATTATAGAGTCAAAAGTAGTATAAAAAGTTTAAATGCTTAAAAGTAAAGTATTGGTAAAATTCTGAATACTGATGTAATACTTCCCCCCCATCATCCTGCCATGGCAATGGTGTTGCTACAAATGGTTTCAGGTCTAAAGGATTGCTTTGATTTCCTTAAGTGTCAAATTTTATTTTTGACTGTATACGTAGTGCTTGCTCATTATAGAAAATTTAGGAAAATAACCAAAGTGTGAAAACAAAAAGTGGGACTTTTCATCCCTTCTCCAGCGAGCTCATTTCTGTTTGAATTTGGAGTGTTCTTCCAAAGATGTTTCCATGTGTACATACACCTATGTAGATTTTCTAAAACCAAACATGCTCTTACCTTTTATCATGTTATTATGAGCATTTTCTCATTAATTAGCCATTGAAATCATAATTTTGGAGTCTACGTAATATTCCATCATAAGGTGTACTGTAATTTACTTACTCATCCCTTATTGTTGAACATTTTGATTATTTCTCATTTTTCACTATTATGACTCTTCCTGTGATTATCACTGGGCATAAATCTTTGACAGACTGTTGATTCCTTCCTTAGGGTAGGGTTTTACTTAATTTTTTTAAATTTTTTTTTTGTTTAAGAGAGATTTTTGCTATAGGGCACAGGTGCTTCCCACAGAGACAGAAGGTGAGAAATCATCCTGCAGTGGGGATGATCACGCTGCAGTCCCTCCTCTTCTGTTCTCCTCTTGGGATTTTGGGCACACATTCACACGCACCTGGCATGAGTTTTAAGCCGCTGGCTCTGGGACTCAGACCGCGGTCAGCTACCTGGGAGTCCAGCGATGTAATCATTACACCATCTGCTGGTCCTCAGGATGGGGTTTTAAACAGTTTCTATTAGTTTTAGCTTATAGTCCATCCAGAGCAAATAGTTATTTTAAAAATTATTGCTGTTAAACAGATTTGCTCTGTAAACTAGAAGTGGTTTCAAGATTAATATTTCATACGACTTAAATTTATTAAATAAGGATCATATACCTGTGTTCTAAAATTTCATTCTTTCTCTTTTGTTTTTTGCAAGTGAGGTGTTGTTTTTTTTTGTTTGTTTGTTTGTTTTTTGAGTTTCCTGTAGGGTGCATGCGCTCACCAGAGAGAGACAGAGGGAAAGAAAGTAAGAAATCACCCCCCAGGGAGGATGGCCATGCCGCAATTCCTTCTCCTCCATTCTCCTCTCAGGGTCTTGGGCACGTACGCCCATGTGCCCGGCATAAGTTTAAGCTACCAGGTCCAGGACTTGAACTGTAAGCTACCAGGTCCAGGACTTGAACTGTGGTCGTCTGTGGTCGAGAACGTGGAAGTGCATTGACTTAGCCATTATGCTAACTGCTGGTCCCTGCAAGTGAGGTTTTAAAATACTGTATTCTGTCCGGTTGTTGAGAAAGATATGATGCATTTTTGCATAGAAAAATAACGTCAAGACTTTCTCGACAACCTAAGATAACGTTTATGTTATTTTATGCGTGCTTCATTCCATAACATTTCACTTTTCTGTTCATAGTCTCTTATCTGTGGTCCTTCATTTGACATAGCTTCCATCATTCCGTTCTTGGAGCCGCTCTCAGAAGATACCATCGCTGGCCTCAGTGTCCATGTTCTGTGTCGTACACGCTTGAAAGAGTATGAACAGTGCATAGACACACTGCTAGAGCGGTGCCCGGAGGCACTCATTCCGTATGCCAGCCATGAGCTGAAAGAAGAGAACCGGGTATGCTTCTCAGATTACGTTATGGGGCTTGATCACAGTGATAGTCAGATTTGATAACACGTTGCCCTGTCCACAAAGTGGCAACAGCTTATGCTAGTCCAGCCTCACAAGGCTGTGTGGGTCCAGTGAGCGTCTATGTTTTAGATGTTGTATGGTTTAGATGTTTAGATGCCGTTAAAATCTGTGGTGAATGATACATTATCATCATTAAAAACCTCTTGTCTGGAGATGAAGTAGGCAAAAATCTGAAGAGTTGGGAAACAAGATATATGATAGGAAAATACTTTGTGTGCCACATAGGGTCTTTAGTTTAGAAATTAAATTACTTTTAGACTTTAGTACTTTTTCTTCTCTTCCTTCATTCCATCTTGTCCCTTAAGAGACGATACCGAGGCATGTCTGTTTCCTCTTGAAAATAGCTATGTACTCATGTACAAAATATGTATTAGTGGATTTTCATGTCACAAACTTGACTTTTATGTTACCGCTGAAGTAGAAGATTAGCTGCTACAGCTTCTGTTATAACTAAGTTGGATGCCTTAACCAAAATGTGTTTTTGTCCCGTGCACCGTCTTCCTATTCTCATTGGAAATCTGAGTATAAAATACATCAAACTAAAACATATTCATTTTTTTCCCCAAGATAGGCTCTATGGTGGAAAAAACTGCTGCCTGAACTTTGTCAGAAAATAAAATGTGGTGGAGAGAAATACCAACTCTACCTGTCATCACTAAAAGGTAAAATGATTTTTTGAGTATAAACTTAAAAGTCTCTCACTCTCTATTTTTTTTTTTTGCTAGAGAGCATGTGCACTCACCAGAGACAGAAATAGGGAAAGGACAAAAGAAAGCAGCACTCCCCATGGGGCATGGTTACACCAATCCCTTCTCTTTTATCTCTTCCTCTTCTGAGGATTGTTAGACGTACACACACACACACACACACACACACACCAACAAGGCTGAGACTCAGACTGTATGGTCAACCATGCAGGATCTAGTGCCTTAACCACCAGGCCATGGAGCTGCCCTTTTCAATTTTTATTTTCTTTTTATTTTTTTCCTCCTTTCCTTCTGTCTGTCTGTCTTTCTTTCTTTCTTTTTCTTTCTTTCTTTCTTTCTTTCTTTCTTTCTTTTTTAAATGTGACTCTTGAGGTGAAGAGTGATTTGGAGAGACTTTCAGCATTCATACGCCCCCTTCTCCCATCAAATTTGATAATCATTTATCTTTTCTTATCACAGAGCTAATAACCTTTTAGAAACATTTAATAGAATATCATGGTCATAGAAACTCACAACTTCAATATTTGAAGAAAAAAAAATTATTGCCAGAGGACGCCTGAAAGAACAAGAGAGAGAAAGCACTTCCCAGGGGGCATGGTCGTGCTGCAGTCCTTTTTTCCCTCCATTTCTCGATCCCATCAGGACTTGGGGCACATGAGCCTCACGTGTTTTTTTCAAGCCACTGGGTTGGGAATTGAACTGTGGTTGACCACGTGGGCTTCTGCTTTCTATGCATAGCACTTAACCTCTGCACTGTGGAGTAGCCCTTAAAAATTTGTATAGCTATTAAGACAATTATATATTTTATCAGTGATCTGGATGCTTAATGTATTTCACACAAAAAGTTAAAATTATTTTTATTGGGTCCAGCTTAGTGGATAAGGCGCTGGACTCTCACATGACCAATGCTGTTCAAGTCCCAGA